CATGATCACTCTTGAATTCAGATCGGGTCGAATATTTGTTGTTACATATACCTGCGCCACTGAGGATGGTATCCACCAGCCTCGAAAAAGGCACCGATAGACTCGGTTTTTCCGGGACAGGGAGGGTGTGAAACGTGCCTCCCGGTGAATTTATTGCGATGGTGAGAAGATCCTATAGCATATACACATGATATGTGCGCAAATTGAATTGATTAATAAGCTGGACATAATTTGGATTAAAGTAAACCTGGTCAAATACGTACTTGGTTATATGCATCCCCACCAAGAGTAAATGTGTGAACTGGAACTTTGGAGATGAAGCCCTGAACTCCATCAAAGAAGTCGCCCTTGTTAATCAACCCATCAGAGAAGAGCAAGATGATGCCATTCAGGTGCCCGTGCTCGCTGATCAGTCTGTGTGCCTCGACGAGACCAGCTGCCATGTTGTTCGTGCAAGCATCCCTTCGCCAGGCTGAGCTTCTTGGGTACCCACTTGCCTCTGTCTCCATGGGGTCAACCAGTTTCATCTCAGATGTGTACGTGTTTGGGGTGGACATGACGTATGTGTAGCCAAGGCAACTATGAACAAATTGGGTTAGCTTCTTTTGCACCAACCAATAGACCTCACGATTCACCTTGTTCCAAGCTGGGGTCGAGGTGGTGCAATCAAATGCTGACACAATCACTACATTTAACGGCCACCTCCCTGCACATAAACATTGACCATTCATCATTTACGCAATCACATGTTTGTTTCCAAGCAAGCATAATTTTATGAATACTCCTATATTGGGATTGGTTCGGATGATTTTGTATATATACCGGAAGTGGGACTAGGATTCTTCTCACTGTGCATCGTGGTATCATTAAGGATGTTATCCAAGAGTTGGGAGAAGGGCACAGATAGGCTTGGCAAGTCCGGAACAGGGAGGGGGCTGAACATCCCGCCTGGGGAATTTGCTGCAATGGTGCGAAGACCCTGTAGCATATAGACATGATATCGATAAAAATTAAATTAACTATTTTTTAAATTATTATATGGACTGGATTAGCTCTAGTCAGATTCATACCTGGTTATATGCATTTCCGCCGAGGGTAAACGTGTAGACGGGCACACTGGAGAGGAAGTCCTCAGCTCCGTCAAAGAAGTCGCCCTTGTTAACCAACCCATCAGAAAATAACAAGATGATTGCATTCATGTTCCCATGTTCATTGATTAGTCTATGTGCTTCATAGAGTCCAGATGTCATGTTTTTCACACAGGCAGTCCTTTTCCAGGACGGGCTACTTTTGTAGCCATTTCCGTTTATCTCAGCAGAGTCAACCAATTTCATATCCGACGTGTAAGTATTAGGGGTTGACATGACGTATGTGTAGCCGAGGCTGCTACCCCTGATGCCGGTGAGCTTCTCTTGCACCAACCAAAACACATTGTCTACCTTGTACCAGTCCGGGGTCGGTGTGGTGCAGTCAAATGCATACACAATCACTACGGCCAGTGGCTCCTTCTCTGTGCGTCCATCCACTGGTCCACTCATAGTGGGTGTTGTGCAAGAACTGCATTCATGTTTAGACGTAGTGTGTCAAAAGTTTTTTTTACCTAACTCATGTGTAAGGAAAATCTAGCAAAAAGAGAGCCATAGACACACATAATATGTAAATTTTCATCAATTTGTGTATGTAGCTGCACATAAAAATATAAGTTTCGCTCTCTTTCTCTTAGTAAAGCAAAAAAAAAATTAATAAAGTGTTTTTGTCTTGTCATCTAATACCATATAAACTTGGCAGTTGCGCTCTCTTTCTCAACTCAGCACACATGCTTTAAAGTGTATATAATATGATACAGATAACACAAGAAATGTATATGCCAGAAAGGTTTATGGTGGTCTTGCTTCTTTATCCCAGCTAGCTAGCTATATTTATGACATCTTTTCTACTTCCATTGCTCTGCTTCTGTCAAGTTGTTCGGTTCGTTTTTTCCGATAAAGAGTGGATATGAAGTATCAAATGGATGCAAACACAATGAGCACACACCCGGCCTCTTCATAGCTCGGATGCACACAGCCAACATCAACACACACAAGAAAAACCACATCGGCGAATAGCAAAGTCATACAAGACCAAAGCTATGCCTATCCATGAAAAAAAAATCCAAAGCATCAAATCCGCAATGGACAAACTACGGCAATGACTTTATCCGCACCAGCTTTCTCATGACACCACAAGGATGACAAGGTTCTTCAACAGCAACGCCTTCAAGAAGGAACCGACGATCCAACCATCAAAGGCTAGATCAAGTTGTTTGGTTCTACTTTGAAGAAATTTTAAGACAGTCCTAGTAAATGTGAACCTCTCATTTTTTGCAGTTCAATGGCTCGTAGATTTATTACCTCTTCGAAGGTAAGAGTTTGTCAATAAGGTTTGTGCGGGTCAATGTAGACTTTTCTTTATGTACAAATAAGGAAGGTAATAATAATTAATTAAACCGTGGTGTTAAATATGAAAATATATAATATGCTCATTAATATTAATATCTTGCTAAGTGACATATTTGTCACTTGATGTTACTTCGGCCTGGATTAATATTTATTAGTCAACTACATGTTAGTCATATAGAAGTATGAGTTGTATATTCATGTACTGGATAAAATAATGTAAACTTCCATTCGTCTAATACCATAGATGGTAATGGAAAAAATATTTTAATTTGCAAAGAAATTCCCCTATAGTTTTGCTGAAATTTGCACAATTAAGTAAAAGTTGGGTCACAAGAATTTCATGTGCCTAAGAAATGAGAAAAACGGGGGTAGGGAAATATCGACTACAATCTTTCTGGAGGTAACTAAAGTTTTTCTTTAACGATAATTTTTTTACCGGCACATAAGGCATCGTACATGTTATGTAGTCATCGTGAGGTGGTCTACGGACCTGGATGTAATTTTTACTTCAGCCGTGTTTTGTACTGCCTTGACAGTTGATGAATAGATCATAAGTTTTTCGCGCATAAAAAAAGAAGTATGGAAACTTTGATTAGTGAAGTTGTTTCTTCATGCAAGCTAGCTACTAGTAGATTTATGACATAGTTTCAACTTCCATTGCTGTATCTGCTTCCTGTGAAGTTGTTTGGTTCTAGTTTGAAAGGATAGTTTTCATTTGTGATATATATAGTTTAATGATCAACACATGTTATATCAGGACCTACCTGGCAACAGTTTGACATGTATCAGGACACCTATAACGGGCATTTCTGAAGTAACCAACAAAAGAAAAAGATATAAAAAGTATAGAGAAGAGATTACCAGGCAAGAGTTGCAGCACTTGGACATACATACCTGGAGATTGATATAGCCGGCTGCTAGCTAGCTCCAGGGACGGGGCACGCGTGTCTGTGTGTTTGTGTCAAGGAAATGAGTGTAGTGGTGCTAGATCAATATCGGGCTGCTCTTAAATAGAGGGAGTTGCGGGGGAGGTGTACTCCACTTGTAGCTAATTGAAACAAAATATTGACACAGCTTTTCTGCCTCACCACGATCGGGATCCATATGCACTTTGGTAGCACGCAAGACACGGTGAATCTCGCACGGTCTACAAGTATAGGGCATTGTGCCATTTACACTCATCAATGTGCGCACCCTCCTAGCTATAAGAAGATCGGGATCCATGTGCACTTTGGTAGCATGCAATTTACACTCATCAATCTACACGGTGAATCTCCCTCTACCCATGGCCAGCAAATAAGCATGGATGTATGTGAGGATCGGTCTTCCAACAAGTAGTACATTTCATCATGAGACTAACACAAATTAAAAAAGGATTCCAATTCAATATTGTATTTTCATTTCAAATTTTAGTTCTGGCGGGACTAACAAAATTCCAATACCTAATCGTATTATCTCATATATATAAGCAAATCAATCTGTGCACGTACAGGCATGACAAACTAACGATAACTGAGGACGCGTTTGGTTCTCGATTGGGCGACTACTCGCCAATCAAGGAAGCTAAGGATTTGGTGAATATCGCATGCATGTGCATTCTGGCAGCACGCAGCACACAATAAGGCATATGCACGTGCAGTTTATACACTCATCAATGTGCACACTTTACTATGTCCTCCCTCCATCCGCGATGATTCCGATCCACGAGCACATTGAAACGCGGATAGTTTAGTTTGCCAAGTTGTTGATTTAGTTAGTAGTACAACGTCGGGCAAGAAAGTTGACTCCATGCTTCTACC